GGGGGGGGGGGGGGCAGCGCAGGCAACAGGCCTGGAAGGCGCTCGACTGTGGGCCGCGGCCTCCCATCCTTGGCATCTTTACCCAGGATGGTTTCCCCTAGATGTTTCTGGCCTAATGTTTCTTGCGCCTTCCCTTGGTCTGCAGGTTATCATCATTTGCCTGGTCATTCTGGATGCCCTCCTGGTGCTCGCTGAGCTCATTCTGGACCTGAAGATCATCAAGGCTGACAAGAACGCCGTCAAGGTAGTGTGTCAGCAGCCCTTTAATACGGCTCAGTTCTGTTATCTTTCCTGAGGCGGGCAGAGTGGGGCAGACGGCACCCGCCTGGGAGTCGCAAGTCCTTAACAGAGTAGGTTGACTGGGTGCTTTTAACCAACGAGCAGAGAAAATGTCTTTCTTTCCAAACTGTAGATAAGCATATACTACAAACAAGAAACCTTCTCATTTCGTGTGATGGCTCGAATCTCAAGTGGTGCTAGACCGCAGAGCTGGAGCCTGCTGCTGCTTCTAGAGGATCTGACCGAGAGAGGGCTACTGTCCCATCTTTAGGGGCAGATGAGCTATTTCTCTGCCTGTCAACATTCTGATGTGGTCCCCATGTTGGAGATGTGCCCACTGTTTATCCCCCAGTTCACAGCTGCTGCCTGAGCCAGCCCCAGACGTTTGTCCAGCCTTCCCAAGACAGCTGCTAGCTTTTATTCTGTGGCCAGCCCGAGTCCTTCTGGAATATTTTTCCTCTCTCTCTAAACTTAATCACGGACATACCTGCTGTACTCACTCTCTTGTGCCTTTTTCTTCAACTTTTTATTATGAAAAATGGCAAATAAACATTTGCTGTATTTGCTTTCTCTATATCCACAAACACACCCATGTATTTTTGACCATTTGAAAGTAAGTTAGACATTAGGACACAAATATTTCAACTTGCTTAAGTATAAGGTCCTTTTGGGGCGCCTGGGTGGCTCAGTCGGTTGAGTGTCCAACTTCGGCTCAGGTCATGATTTTACAGCTTGTGAGTTCAAGCCTTGCATCGGGCTCTGTGTTGACAGTTCAGAGCCTGGAACCTGCTTCTGCCCCTCTCTGCCCCCACCCTGTTCTCTCTTTTTCTCTCAAAATAAACATTAAAAAATTTTTTTAATAAAATTTTAAAAAAAGGTCTTTCTCCTATAGAGCCACAATATTATCAATTCCTGAAAAGTTATCAATGATTCTATAATAACCAGTTTATATTCAAATGTCCTCATTTGTCCCAAGAGTATCTGTTATAATGTTTTTGTTATTTTTTCAAACTAGGATCCAGACATCTGATATTATACTCGGTCATATCTCCACAGGCTCTTTTAATCTAGAAGAGTCCTCCCACCTTTAATTTTTTCCCCTTAGGACACTGACTTTTTGGAGTCCAGCCAGTCATCTTGTTAAGTGTCCCGTGTTCTGGATTTGCCTGTCTCCACTGAGGTCCTTCCAGCTTGTTCCCCTATCCCCTGTACACCATAGGTGAGGTCCGGAGGCACAATTAGCAAGAGTTCTTGGCTGGTGGGGTGTTTTCTTTATAGCACAGCACATTGCTACTGGTGATCCTCACTGAGACCACTTAAGGCAGTAATTGCTGAGCTGTTCCACTGTCCAGGGACACTTTCCCTTTTCAGTTATAGATAATCTGCAGTGACACTTGACTGCCATGCAAAAATCCTCTTCTCCAATTAGCGTCCACCTGATGGTCACTATCTGAGTCGGTGAATACATTGGGGGATGCGAACTCAGATTTCCATCATTCATTTTACATCTAGTAGGTGGTAATTTTTATATATATATATAAAGAAGAGCTTTCCTTTTCCCCCCATGTGTGTATACATATCACGATGGGGGACTCATGGATTTTTTGGGTGTATTCAGTGTATGATAATCATAGTCCTTCTGTTCACTGTTCAAATTGTCCCATATTTGGTCACTGTGAGCCTCTTCAAACTGACTATATCTCTTTAACATAACTCCGTAGGCTCTGAGCATTTCTTGTTCTCTGGCGCAAGACGATGTCCCAGCTGAGTTTGTACTTTCCCTGTCCTAGAATGGAAATGGTTACTTTAAGGAAACGTAGTATTTATAAATAAAGATCTAGCAATCCTCTTCAGTTACCGTCTACCTGGGAGATCATTTCTCGTCAGTACGTAGGAGTCAGCCTTGGTCCTTTGCCCAGTGCTCCATATGGAGGTGCCATAATGCATCTGCCAGATGCCCTCTAATATTTCTATACTGCAAAGAATATAGAAGATCTTTTGTCTGTAAATGATGCTGCAGCGAATATCCCTACAACATGCCTTTGTGCACGTGTCAGCTTGGCTGTAGGATAGATTCCTAGCATTGGAGTCACCGGGCCAAAGGACATGGTTTTCAAATCCTGCCATTGCCCAAGTGCCTGTCAGAGGGCAGGCAGGGCAGAGCCCCGGTCTGTGGTGTTCCGGCCGTATTCCCAGGCCAAGAACTGAGCCCGTGGAGTTTGGGGTCAAATCAATGAGTTCACTCTCCGGTGCCCGGGCAGGTGCACTCAAGGCCAGCTCGTCTGTGTGCCCTGCCCCAGCCTGTGACCAGCCCTGGATCTGCACTCACTGTGCTGCCTCTGTCCTCTCCAGGTGTTTCACTGCATGAGCATTGCCATCTTGACCTTCTTTATGATGGAGATTTTTCTAAAATTATATGTCTTCCGCTTGGAGTTCTTTCACCACAAGTTTGAAATCCTGGACACCATCGTGGTGGTGATTTCCTTTATCCTTGACATCGTCCTCCTGTTCCATGAGCACCAGTTTGAGGCTCTTGGCCTACTGATTCTGCTCCGGCTGTGGCGGGTGGCCCGGATCATCAACGGTATGTTCCCTGCACTCCCGGGCTGCAGAGGGAATTGGAGGGTGGGCACAGCCTGAGAGTGGACCCAGAGGCCATGGTTCCTCCTCCTTTTGGCTAGCATTTTCTAGGGAAAAAGGGGGTGACCTGAGTTTGTAGCCTCTGTGGCTACAAATCGACACGGCGTCACATGCTCAAAGAGGAACCACATTTCTCCTGTAGGCCTTGTTTTCATGATAATTAGAAGATATTTATAGAAGGGGTCAGACGAATGCCTCCTTGGTCCCTACAGCTTGGTCCCCAGAGCACCTTTGTTGTTTGGTGTTTTCCCGAAGATTGTTCCACCGCACCCCACCCACTGGGAGGGGTACCATCCAGAAGGGGTGCAAGTAAGCTGACAAACGCTGCACCCTAGATTCTGGCCCTTTGAGGAAGTCACAGCACTTGTTAACATGAGGAAGACTTTGAGAACTGTTTCCCACACTGACAAACTGGACAGTTTGGGGGGAGATAACACCTCTTAACATGACGCAGACTTTGGCTCTAGAGAACACGCTTGGGGAAAGAATGCTCTACCATATTCCTCATACACACCCTGTTGGTGCAGGGAGGCTGTTTCAGAGAAGCCATGTTTGTGCTGTTATTGGGTGGACACAGTGATCACCAACTGGTTCAGCTCTCCCTGAACGAGTCAGGGTTGTTCTGAAGCCTGTCTGTAGACCCACTGCACCAGAATCCCCTTCAGGGCTCTTGTTTTTTCAGTGGAGAGTCTGATGCGACGTCTGGGTGGACCCTCGTGGGGTGTCTGTTTTTGAAGTGCTACCAGGTGACCTGGGCGTCCAGACAGGCTTGGGAATCCCTAGACAAGCGTCCAGCCCGACAGACTGTAGGTCAATGCCAGGAGAGTGAGGCAGGCCCGTCCTAGGATGTGCAGCTCCTTCACTGGGCAGCAACGAGTCCCACCCCGGCCTTCCGTGCTGGCGGTGAGGGGTCACATCTGCTCCGATGCGGGGCTCTGCCTGTGGGCACTGCGGGCTCCCACAGGCTTTAGGAGCCAGTTCAGATCTGATTAAAGTTCATTAAGAATATTCACTTGGGGGGCTGAGTGGGTTAAACATCCGACTCTTGATTTCGGCTCAGGTCATGATCTCACGGTTTGTGAGATTGAGCCCTGTGTCAGGCTCTGCACTGACAGCAAGGATACTTGCTTGGGACTCTCTCCCATTCTCTCTCACAAAATAAGCAGACATTAAAAAAAAAAATTAATTTGGGCTCCATCAAAGGAAATAAAGGAAGTTTTCCACTTTACTGAATACGCTTATGCTGATTATTTCATTCATCAAACAGAAATACTCTGTGCAAAGGTTAGCACAGTTGAAATGGATCAACCATTACAAACTATGAATGACTCCGGAATAGTTACTACCCATTACTCTCCTATCACACCATTGTGAGATGTGCTTTTACAGATAAAACCAAAAGCCTGAGCTCTGTTCATTCTCTTGGTCCAAATGGTAGCAGGGCACAGGACTGCCTAATAATGCGCACTATTGCATCGCTATCAAATTTAGGGGCAGGACATGAAAGGTCTGAGAAAGCAACACAAGCTTCAACTGGATTCAGACAATCAAGAATGCTGGGGACCGGGGGCCGGTGCTCCCCGACCTATGGCTACCGAGTCCACACATGGTCACTCTTAGTTGGAAGGCACAGAGCATCCCCAGTTGCTGCACAGTCTTTTGAGGTCATGTCCCCACTGTGGCATGGGCATTTGGGAGCCTACCAGATAAGGCCGATGACCCCCCTGTCAGCCAAGGCTTTGTTGATGGCCTGATAGCTGAATTGGCCATAGCTGTGGGAGGCGGAAAGTCAGGACAGTGACAATTCCAAGGCCAAGCTTGAGCATTTCCAGCCATGTACTTTCGTGTCTTTTGTGTAGAGTGCTAATAAGCCACGCCGTCATGAACACGCTCTGTGTTAAGGAGCTTAACACTCACGTGGTCAGGGACTATTAAGGACTTCTTAGCCCATGTGGGCTAAAGGGAAATCTTTAGGAGCCAGTTCAGGTCTGATTAAAGTTCCTTAAGAATATTCATTTGGGGAGCACCTGGGTACTGAGTAGCTCAGAGATAAACTCTGACCCTCCTAGTTCTGATGTCTTTAAGGGACTGACCATGCTGTCACCAGCTGGACACAGTTATAAACAATACAGGGCTTTTTCCAAGTGGTTAAACTAGAAACCTATATCACTGAGACCCTTAATTATTTTACAGGAATAATTATCTCCGTTAAGACACGTTCAGAACGGCAACTACTGAGGTTAAAACAGATGAATATACAGTTGGCCGCCAAGATCCAACACCTTGAATTCAGCTGCTCTGAGAAGGTAAGACCACAGTTGTGGGAAAATGCCACCTGTCTGCCTTCAGTTCTGCACTTCTCCCTGCCAGGCCCTTGCTCGGACACAGCCCTCGACTAAGTCTTCCTTGTTCTTTCAGACTCAGGTTAGGCATCGCCTCCTTCCCCAGAGCTATGTCAGGTGTCCCTCCTCTGAGTACCTCCTGTCACTGGAGTCGCCCACTGGACCCCATCTGACTGAGGCAGGCTCCACTGGCAGACTCCAGTAGGAGTGTAGCATTCATTCGGCTGTGCATCCGGGGGACCCACTGAATGCTCGCCACATCTCTGGGGAGGCTCAGAAGGTAAACTGACTTGTTTGTCTGCTTTTGTAATGACAGGAACAAGAAATTGAAAGACTTAACAAGCTCTTGAGACAGCACGGACTTCTTGGTGAGGTCAACTAGATGCGCACCTGCTCCACCCCAAAGAGAAGACCCTGCTTCCACGGGCTTGTGTCTCTGAGAGAAAGACAGCTGCCTCTCCTGGGCCCGTTTCGGGGAGAGGTTTGGTTCGATGCCTTTGCCTCACCTCCACCCAGCTTGGATTCCGGGGTGGGCAGGTGGTAGGGGGAGGGGGGAAGGCGGGGGAAAGGCTTGCCCTTCCTTTCTTGGCGTGACCAAGAGCTTCCCATCCCGTCCTCACTCCACGTCACCATGTATCATAAACTATATTCTCTCATGTTGACACTTTTGCTTGAAAATGAACGAAGCTGGACAACTACTAGTTGTATATAAAATTTTATCTCATCAGTGTACTTTTCACATTTCGCGTGTATATTGAGGAACCAGTGCATTCTTTCATATGGGCATTCTGAAAGACAAAGGAAAAAAGAAAGCTACCTTAGCTACCAGCCCATTCTAGAAAGTCTTCTCTTCCCAAGCTGTTCTCAACAGCTCCTCTTGGTGCATATTCCTCCAGGGAGGTTGTCCTCAGGTACCCAGCCCCTCCTCTGCCGCATCTAGCTTCTAACTGGCTCTACCCAGTTCCGCCACCTGACAACTTTTTTCTCAATTACTGTGCAATTAATGTATAAAAGCAACTCCTTCCCTCGGGACCTCCTACTCTATTCTTTCCAGCATCAACTGCTAGGAACTGCTCTGTGGTATTCCGTACAACCACCCGTTGGAGAGCTCCAGTGCCTGCCACCGAAATAGCAATTAGACCCAAGACTCCATGTAATGAAGGTGACACCGGGGAAAGATTCCCTCATGAGGCCCTGTGCTCTACTTGCATGATTTTGTACAATTTTGCTATTTTTGTATTCGTTTCCACGGGACCAGTGAAGGAAAGAAAACCTGGACTACAAACAATGAGTATTTTTAAAATAAGTCATGTTGAAGCAGAGGATGAATACACTGGATGAACCCTCGATGCCTGAGCTACTCAGGGTCTGTCCCCTGTACCATCTTCCCAAAGCTGCAATTTGCTTTCCACACGTGACCTATGTGCCAACAGTACTGGAAATCACCAAGACCAGATGGTGCCCCATTCTAAGGTCACACTAAGTAGAATTTCCAAAAGGAAAAAGGAGGGAAGTGAGCGGAGAGAGGAGATGTGTGGTTTGAGGGCAACCCCACAGGTCAGAGGTGTAACACCACAGGAGGTCTCCAAGGGAGCCCACGCCCCACAGCACTTGATTCTAGAGGTGTGGTGTCATTTCCTTGATTAAAAACTTACGTCAAACAAAGGGGAAGAAGAAATTAAACGGCAGCTTGGCATTGATGGTTGGCCGAGTCCTGAAGCCCGCCTCTGCAGGTGCAGACACATCCACAAAAGTAACCGCAGTGGAAATAAGAACCGTTCTTTCATTTCCTGAGTTGGTCTGTAATAAAAAGAGCGATGCAAGCCCTGCCTTCCAGCGTGCTAACAAAGATGGGACATGTTGTGTTCTTTTCCGCACGTGACCGTGGTCAGTGCATCTCATAGGTATGCGGAGGGCCCATCAGCCACTAACTTGGATGAAAGATACCACTTTTACCCAGGTTGTCCTACCCCATCAATGTCAATCGCAACTCAATTTTCAATGAATTTTAAGGATCAAATCTAAACAAGAACGCTAATGTGAATTCAACTGTTGTCAGAATTTTCTAACTAAATGACTGCTAAAGTGTTTAAATTTCAATAATTTTTTCACAGAATAAATTTTATTATCACACTTGAGTTTTGTCTGGACTTACATCTTAACCAATACCTTGATTTTTTTAAGTTTGTTTGAGAAAAGTGTGGGAGGGGCAAAAGGAGAGAGAATCTTTTTTTTTAAATTTTTTTTTCAACGTTTTTTATTTATTTTTGGGACAGAGAGAGACAGAGCATGAACGGGGGAGGGGCAGAGAGAGAGGGAGACACAGAATCGGAAACAGGCTCCAGGCTCCGAGCCATCAGCCCAGAGCCCGACGCGGGGCTCGAACTCACGGACCGCGAGATTGTGACCTGGCTGAAGTCGGGTGCTTAACCGACTGCGCCACCCAGGCGCCCCAAAAGGAGAGAGAATCTTAAGCAGGCTCCATACTCAGCATGGAGCCCAACACAGGGCTCAATCCCATGACCCTGGGATCGTGACCTGAGCTGCAATCAAGAGTCTTGACGCCCATCCAAGCCACCCAGGGGCCCCTTAACCAATACCTTTCTACTCAAGTTAGACGTACCTCGGGAAATGAGGATGCAATTAGATTTGCAGTGACATTAACTATTTTAGCCTGTGGGTTCAGTAAGGATCCGTACTTTGTCCACTTCACTTCTATAACCAAAGCCACTGGGAGCTGGCAGGAATCCTGCAAAACAAAATGCCATTCACCAGTCTGAACATTACACAACCTCATGTCAAACTTAATCTGCAGTTCAGTTTTAATTATAAAATGTTTCGCATATTACAAAATGTTCTGAACAAGAGAGTGAATAGACTCTAGAAGTTCATACGAAAACAGCTGAGAGCACATATTTTAAAGTACTCAGTGCTCCAAAAATATTTTAACACCCAAAGCATCATTTTTCCGTGCTCTCCCGTTTCTAGAAAGACCAGCCAGTATTGGGAAGTTCTGGAGATCCCAACACCAAACTGGAACACGGGGCTTCAAATGCCCCAACTTCAGCTCAGGGATTCTTTAGGGGAGAAACTGGCATTGGGTGGGGAGAGAAGAGAGGATGGGGTTATTCACAGAAATTAAACCTAATTGCAGATCACGTTCCAAAACACACCTGGAAGAAATGCAGTTGCTCTCTTTCCATTTATTTAATCTCATCAGTTGGCGATCAAGGTGTTACACAGGAACGTATAGAAATGAGTCTGTAAGGGGCGCCTGGGTGGCTCAGTCGGTTAAGCGTCCGACTTCGGCTCAGGTCATGATCTCACGGTCTGTGAGTTCGAGCCCCGCGTAGGGCTCTGTACTGACAGCTCGGGCCTGGAGCCTGTTTCAGATTCTGTGTCTCCCTCTCTCTCTGACCCTCCCCCGTTCATGCTCTGTCTCTCCCTGTCTCAAAAATAAATAAACGTTAAAAAAAAAAAAAAAATTAAAAAAAAAAAAAGAAATGAGTCTGTAAGTTGTCAAAGATACTAAGTCTCCTGTGGACTGAGAGCATTGCTCCCACAGTTGCGCCTCCTGAGGCCTCTGCCCCCGGGCAGAACAGGCCAACAGCCTCCCAACCTTTTTCTTGCCTTTACATCTGGTTTGTTGGCAAATGTGATAACCACTGAAGCTGCTTGACCGGTAGAAGGGATTCCATTGTAATACTCGACTTCTGTGTGTGTGTTTGACATTTTCCCCACAATAACAAGTTTTTAAAACTACGCCTCTTTAGGGCATGAAAAGCTACCAAGCCTGCTAAATTTGGTGCCTGCCAAAAAGGCACTGGTGAACTCCTTAGCTTGGAACTGCCTTTTAAGAAGTTTGCAGGCAAAAAAATCCCTGTGACTATCCTGTTATTAGAAGATGTGATACACCACTGGCAGAAACTGAGCTTATTAGCACAAGCTCTCATGTCTGCTACTAGAGTTTCCTGGAAGGGGAGTACAAAACCCACTCCAGGCTCTCTGAGCTCCCTGGACCAGCAAAACCCTGAAAACGCTAATGTCTGCACTGCCTCTCCTCCCAACCTGTTTTCCCCTCTGAGGGGTCCTAATAACTGGATGTCTCAACCCAACTGCCAGAAGCCAGAAGCAATTTGCCTCGCTCTGAGGTGGCAGACCCGAGCCAAGACATAGCAGCTGAACAGCAGGGACTGAGTAATCATGGGTCTCTGCCGGGGACTCAGGAGGAGGGCCGGATCAGAGCTAGAGAGCTAGTCCTCAGCCCCTTTGTCCCCATGCTATAAATACGCTAAGCAGATAATGAGAGGCCCGAGAAGCTGCCACAAGCAAACGCTGGGCAATTAAAGGATAAGATGGAGAGCACGCCTCCGGTGATGGGGACCAGCCCACGCTCTGACGGCTGAGACAAAAGAAAAAGGTGGGCAGAGCAATCACATGTGATCAGGAACCTCTCTGTAGCATGTCAAGTTCCATTAAACTCTTCAGGGAACTTTGGAACTGAAAGCTCTCACGTGTGGGCTGCCTTTATAGACCAGGGAACGAGAGATGGGACAGCGATGTGGACAGGAGGAGTCTCTCTTTCTGTGACAGTCCATGTCATACTCCCCTGTCCTGTCACGATGCCTCATGTCACACCAGCAGTGATCGTAGGAAGTCAGGATGGTGATGGGTGGTAGTTTCCACGTTTGGAGCGGCCACTAGGCACCACGAATGTCCCTCATTTAACTGTACCACCCCGTGTGGCTGACACTGTAGCCCTCACTCCCTGTTTCACAGATGAGGAAACAGGCTCAAACCCTCAAAGGCAAGAGCGCTAACAAGGGGCAAAAACAGTTTTCAAGACCCAGGCCCATCTGACAGCAAAGCCTGGGCTCCGGCCCAGAGCCATCCATCTCCTTAACAGCTCCCCTGCCTCCCCACGGGGGAGGGGGAGCAGTGGGAATAGGAGAGACCACTCGCGCACAGGTACGGCCTTCCGCTTCCCCTTTACCTTCATGTGGGGCGCCTGGCTGATGAAGTGGATGGGTACCCAGTCCAGCACATCCTGGGCCTGGGAATTTCCAAAAGGGGCCACATAATCCGGGAAGCCATGGCCCTTCAGGAGGCTCTTCACTTTCTGCACTGCAAGCTGACACGTGATGGCTTTGGTCAGTCTCGTGGGAAGGAAGAAGAGGTTGATGCAATGAGGCTGTTGTTCATTCCAACAGTTTTCACCGGCTCAACAACACACGTGCCCTCTCCAGTTTATTTTTATTTTCTCACTCCAAACCCATCATTTGACAGAAGCCAAACTGTCTCTAACTCTGAGAAACCTCGGTTAGCTCTGTACAAGCAGAGTTTCCATGGCCAAAAGTTTGGGAAATATTGCATGCCCACATCCCTCCTGAAGCACACTGGCATATTAGAGGCTCTCCTTACAGTAAGGAATCATGTTTTTAAATTTAGTTTGGTGTTGCTCAAACATATTGATTGGACCACAGACATACCCCTACTGACTCTTGTGGAAATGTAGTCCCTGAAACTCCCTCAGAGAAATACTGGTCTAAAGTGATCAGAACCAATAATGGAAATGGAATGTGTTGGTCTAACCAAAACAATGCTATAATTACCCTGAGGGGAGGTAGGGATGGGAAGTGTTGGGTAGGAGAAGAAAGGGGTAAGAGCCAAATCTTGGTCTTCCATAGTGGGGACTCAATAATTCATAAGACCAAAATATCAAGAAGCAGC